GCCAGTGGGCGGGGCCCTCCTGCTCCCTCCTCCGTGCTCCCTCCGTTCTCCTCCCTCCTTCCCAGCTCTGCGTCCTTCTCCCTCCTCTCCCTCCTCTCGGTTCCCTCCTCTCCTCTCTCTTCTCCCCTCCCTCCCTTCTGCTCACTTCTCCCGTCTCCTCCACGGAAGAGGTTTAACTGTCTGAGTACTGGAGATCATCCCGCTGGCTGCTGGGGCGCTTTCAGTGCCTGGAGCCTGACTCAGGGACCAGACTTGAGGAAAATCTCCCACTAGGAGGTGATGGAGAACCTGATGCTCCGAAGAAAAGCTTTGGTTGAGATTTCTGTCCCAATCCAGGATATTTCGTCCTCTTGCCTTACCTCCGGTGAAAGAGTGGTACCCATCCTTGGAACAGATCCAGGAGGTTTGTCTTATCCTGATTTCTGAACCACTGAATAGCTTGTGACTTTGGCAGTTTTTGTAGCGTCTTTAATCGGCCTGAATTTTAGTTGTGCTTGTGAGATCTGCTGACTTGAGCAAACACCAGAAAAAGGCTCTCATTGAAAATTCCTCCACATCCACACTAGGGAAAATATAAATGGGCATGGATGAGAGAGTTGCTTTATCTGCATGTATCATCAGCGATTCATTGTGTGTGACTGGCTTGATTTTGTTGCATGCTTTCCTTGCTCGCTAGAGAGAACGCACTGTTTTCTCTTGAAACTTGCTGTGGTCGCTTGTGGTCAGAGGGTGGGAAAGGATGTGATAGGTGCTTTGCTTGTGTCAACACAGTGAGCCTGGTACTATTACTGTATATTACTCAGAACTAAAGCAGAGGTCCGGTAAAGGACAAAATGCCACACAGAGTCATTGGCTGACAAGCTATTCCTGGGTGCCAGGGAGAGGGCTCAGCAGGCAAAAATGCACTTATTCCAGGCAAGGGCCTGAGTTCAGCCTCAGAAACTCTCATAGTGAAAGCAGAGAACTGGCTCCATCAAGTTGTCCTCTGGCCTTCACACACCATGATACATGTTTACACACAGAGACACATACACACACACACACACACACACACACACACACACACACACTGTGTGTGTGCTCCCATAAGCAATCACATATAAATGGATGGATGGATGGATGGATAGACAGATATATATATAGATAGATAGATGATAGATAGATAGATAGATAGATAGATAGATAGATAGATAGATAGAT